TCTCTCCTCTCTCTCTTCTCTCTCTTCTCTCTCTTCTCTCTCTCCTCTCTCTTCTCTCTCTTCTCTCTCTTCTCTCTCTTCTCTCTCTCCTCTCCCAGCCTCTCTTTCTCCTCTCTGTTTCTCCTCTCTCTCTCCTCTCTCTCTCTCTCTTCTCTCTCTCTCTCTCTCTCTCTCTCTCTCTCTCTCTCTCTCTCTCTCTCTCTCTCTTTTTCTTTCTCTCTCTATCCCTCTCTCCCTCCGTCTCATGCTAGACATCTACATGCAAAGCTAGATGTTTTCATGTCGTGTGCATGTATATATTATATATATATAGTATACTATGCTAATGTTGAGATATACTTCGTACGTGTTTGCAAAATTTCGGGTATATATATATATATATAGAATGTGGAATTTATTTTCGAACTATCATATTAGCTAGTATATAGATAAGGAGAAAGAGAAAGAAGGGTTGAGAGGTAAAGAGATGAAGACGAAACATGTAAACTATATATATATATATATATTAATGAATAAACAATATATATATATATATGTATGATAATACTATATATGATCATTTTATCTATATAGACTGCGAAAGCTATAGAAAGATAAGTATGTAGTGAGAGCGAGAGAGGCACTGAGATAAAGAGATAGAGAGCGAAAGGAATAAATGCATGCATATACACGCAGAGAGAGAGAGAGAGAGAGAGAGAGATAGAGAGAGGATGGTGACAAAGCGAAAGACGGAGAGAGAGAGAGTGTGTGTGTGTCTAGGCTAATTTGAAATACGTGTAATAAATAAATAAATATATATATATATATCAAAAGACACAGAGCCCTAAAAATATATATGTCATCTTTCCTCCTGACAGGATGGGCACACAGACCCGCCTCTCAAGAAGGCAAAGAAGGCCAAGGACCAGAAGGAGCAGAGGGGCCGGGGCGGTGACAGTGGTGGCAAGGTGGAGGTCAAGAAGATGCCATGGACGCCGAATCCACCCCCAGAACCTGTGCGGCCGCCTGGATCGACCGGAGTCGTTTTGCCGAATCCACCCCCAGAACCTGTGCGGCCGCCTGGAGCTGTCGGAGTCGTTGTGCCACCACCTCCACGACCGCGCGCTGGTCCTGCGCAAGGTGCAGGCGACGTTCGCCCCAAGGCAATGCCGAAGCGGAGGGTGGAGGTTGACCCCGAGGAGGCGAACAAAGGAGTGGGCAAGGGCACGGCGAAGGAAGAGAGCGACACGGAGTGAGTGGCCCTGACAATGCACACGTGCATGTTTTCACTTATGTATATATGCAAACCCTAAACCCTAAACCCTAAACCCTAAACCCTAAACCCTAAACCCTAAACCCTAAACCCTAAAAAAAAAACCCTAAACCATAAAGCCTAAACCCTAAACCCTAAACCCTATACCCTAGCTATATAATTATACATGCATGCACATATAGTATTATGTATATATTATATTAAATTATGAATTTTATATATTATAAATATTTTTACATGTGTACGTATATATATATATATATATATACATATATATATATATAAATTACATGAACGAGATCTCGTGATAACATGCTACATGCAATCTCTGGGGCAGTGAAAGCATAGCGAATTGCCTGCATCATGTGCACACGCACTGCATGCACTCGAAGCGCAGGCCGACAAAAAAAATTGCACTGGCAAGCTCACGGGTAGCATGGCTCATGGAAACCATATCTGGTACTGCATGAACATTAAATAGTGTGTGAACTGTGCATGCAGCCACGTGTACATGCTCCAGCTACTGCGCAGGATGAACCGCTACTTCCAGACCAAGAAGAGGTCGAACGCCAATGCTTCCGAGGTGCTTCGCAACATTTGGGAAGGTGAGCAAGGCCGAGCCTTGGTACTGCACGTGAGCATGAATATTTTGTGCACGTGTTGCATACTCGATCTACAGTACTGTGTATATATATATATACAATACATTAGTAACATAATACTATATATATATATATACTAAAATATGCATATATAAATAATACGATATATACTATATAATAAAAAATATCGTTTTAATTATGCCGTGTATACATGAACTAATAATAAATATTATATATGTATATATATATATATACAAAATTATATGATTAAACATGTACCAAGCTAAGGGCAGAAGGTTTACCAGCTCCTCCAGAAGCACGGTGATTTCAAAGCAATCGAATTGCATCTCAAATGCAAGACGACCCAGAAGGAGAAGAATGCTCTGTCGGGTGGGTATGTGAACGAGGCTATCCTGCGGAACATCTGGGGTTGGGATGAGAGCCTTGGATTGTATGTGCAAACCTGAAGCCAGGCATGCTTCAACCTCATTATATATATATATAGATCGTGATTATCTAAGGGACATGATCGCCTTCTCGAAGAACCGAGCAGCCGAGAAAGGTATGGTGAGGAAGTCTGTGGAGCATGGAAAAGATGAGTGGAAGGCGGTGCTTGAAGAAAAGTTCAAGGTGCAGAGTGAAAAGAAGAAGTCGACGGAGACCGCAGGTTCCGCAGTGCTGCAGGCACAAATCAACACACACACACACACACACACACACTGGCATGCATGCATGCATGCTTAAGCTTCCAAATAGATCCACACCCCGTGCAGGATGATGATGGTGCTGGACTTCAGGGCCTGCTCCAGGACATCGACATGAGTAGGGAGGCGGCTATCATGACCCTTAGCGCGCATGCGTGCGTGTAAGTGCAGAAGAAGCATGCATCATGCATTTCATGTAGAGTGACTGAACATGGGGCTTTACTCGAGGAAAGATATCGACCCGGCCCAGACCATGTCTGCCACAGCGGTACAGTCGGCCAGAAACGCCAAGAGTCTGTCCCTCCCCACTCTGCAGTCGAATGCAGACCCATATGGTTCCTCGGCTGCACCCATGCATATATGTATATATATATACATGTATATATATATGTATATATATATATATTACATACTATACATATATAATCTCGGTTCGCCCCCCCCCCCCCCCCCTCGCCCCCCAACCCCCTAAACCCTGACTAACCCTCACCCAAGAGCTAAATCTGGATCCCAACCCTAAACCCCTTAGCTAGCTTAACCCGCAACCAACCACGGGGGGGGGGGGGGGGTAGGCCTTAGGAACCCTAAACCCTAGGAACCCTAAACCCTAAGCCCTAAACCCTAAACCCCAAACCCCAAACCCTAGACCCTAACCCTAAACCCTAAGGCCGCATTCTGATCATTTGTTTGTAATATATAATATATATATATGTATACTATTGCATTTACAGCATATACCTCTGTGATCTAAGCTCTGCTGGCTGCGTACATTGACACCATGGGCAAGAAGTATGACAAGGGTGATGAGATGGCTGACACGTGGCATGTAATATACACGCATGAATCATGGCATGCTGATCAGATCATGTACATGTGCATGCACGAAGCACAGCTGCAGGAGAGGCTCGAGGGGTTCAACCTCGACCGTGCCACGAAGTTACTTCTCTGCCTCCAGCATGCTGACCTCTACACATATCTGCATCATGCTATCCTTGGTACTACATGCATGTGTGATGTGCCTGGTGCAGGTTGGCGACTGAACTGAGAACTCGTTTGGGGGAGTATGATGCCTGCTACAAGAAACTACTCGAAATTCAAGATCGGGCCTGTGTGGCAGTGCAGCCGAGTTTGCCTGATGCCTAGTCCTCTCATATATATATATATATATCTATCGCTATAAACATGGCTAGGCACATGTGTCTCTAGCTAAAGGGAAGAGAAGAAGATCCTGTCGGACCTTTTCATTGACTGCATCAAGAAGGATGCTGCGTTGAACAACATTCAAGGCCGTGCCAGGCAGGCTGTTCTCTATCCTTCGAAAAATTAATTTTGTTCATGCCCTGTATGCCACTGTATGTCTTAATGACCCACCATATCGATCGTGCACAGGAGCATGAAGATGCCGAAGCCAGCCGAAAAGTCTGAGAAGAAGCCGAACAAGGCGTCGAACAAGAAGGAAAAGACGAAGAAGAAGCCAAAAAAGGCTGGTTCGAAGAAGAGAGCTGCCAAGGACTCGGCTAAGACAGCGGAGCCGGCAAAGCGCTCGAAGAAGTCGCGTGCTTGAGCTGTACATATGATTTAAAGATCGAGCTGTGCCTGCAATGACACGGCAAGTGGGTGGCACAGCCACGGGGCATGCATGTGTTACTTTGACACATTGCGTCTTGTGATATCATGAGAGCACACGCGTGACCGCGATTGGGAAAAATTGTTTGGAGCATCGATCATGCACGTTGGTAATGTACCATGCATGCATGCATGTACACATGTTCGCATGCCTATTGTGTGTTTGGTTCGCTTGCCAGGTTATGCCCTGCCAGTGGACCTTGCACCGCTAGTCAGAGGTGGGAGGGGGGATGGTGCACACGCGATGATGCTTCATATGCACATATCGAGGCAGCTATGTTCGAGATGTATCCTCGGAATCGAGCAATGATGATGACTTGGCCCTCGAGATCCTTTCAGACTATTTCCATGGTGCTGCTAGGCATTGATTATTTACACATGTCCATGTCCGTGTGCATGCGTGTATATTATCTATAGCCATCTCTCTATCTCTCTATATATCTCTTTATCTCTCTATCTCTCTATCTCTCGATCTATATATATCTTAATTTCTATCCGAGAATCAAAGTGCGGCCAAAGCCACTCGGGTGGCTGCGATGATTTGTGGAAAAAGGCGCCATCGATCCTCGGCGCGCACGCAATGAACATACATACATGTATAAATTATATAATGATTTACTAATGATGCATTGATGATCTAGTTGAGGCAAAGAAGACCTGCTCTATGGGATTGCTCGTGCCAGCCGAAGCAAAGCCCACGTCAATCGGAACCTGCTGCAGTGCATTCGAAAACATGGAGTCACGTTCCCGGTTGCGATCGACACTGTATTAATTTCGATTCGGCTACACCGCCCACGAACCCGGACGATTCAAATACACTGGCCGATCTTGCCGATGCGGGCTTGGCTCAATGCACTGGTAAGTGACTGCCCCCAGTTCTTGTTTGCTGGGCACACCTCTTGCGAGGCTGCTGCAGACGTATTTACAACTTTCTGGCGCAAATTTCGGCAATGCGAGCCCAATCATTGCATCTTTGGAGATGGCAAGGAGTTGTCAAGATGCATACCGGTATTCTTTCATGGAGATGAAGGAAGAGGTGCCCGCAAAACTCCCTTCCTCGTCCAGAGCTGGCAACCTGTAATTTCCCACTTGGGTTTGAATGCGACGAATATGTCTGGGTCGATTGTCTGCAAGTGCCGTGTGCAATATCACTTGCGGGCGAACTAATGCTGCACGGGACAATGAGCATGCATGCAGCTGAGGCACTCGTTCATGACACGTCTCCTCCACAGCTGCATCTCCAGCCGCTGCATGGAGGACAGCACAATGGATGACCTGAACAGAGCGTGGGCAGAAGAGGCCCTCTCGCTCTACGAGAACGGATACGAGGCTGTGCGCCCATTTTTGAAAAAGCATCTTAATATATATATATATATATATACATTATCAATAAATATTTAACGATTAATATATAGAAAATATATACACGTATAATTTTCGACCTATATTATAATATATATGTATATGCAGACGGTGTCATTGAGGTTCCTGGTCAGCGACCTTTCTTCATGGTGTACCTGGGGCTGAAGGGTGATTGGCCCTACCTTCGAAAGGCGCTGCACTACATCATGCATGTACATGTGCATGTACACGCACGTGCAGTCATGTGTGCCTGTGAGTTGCCGCGTGCGGGTAGGCAGCTTCTTTGCTTCCGGGATTTACATCCACCAGGAAATGTCACTGGTGCTCTGGAAAGGACGGGGTCATATTATATATGTATATTATATATATATATGTATTACTTATATATCGGCCCAGTTATTACTAGTATGCAATATGCATGTATATATATATAATATGTCTGCAGGACTGGTGGGATATGTCTTCAACCGCTGCCTGGAGGCAGTCATCGGAGCGGCCAGGGCCGAATCCTTTCAAGACAGACAATGTGCCTTTCTTCATATTGCCACATGGTGCCGACCCACTTACAATCCTGCCGGACACATGCCACAGCTTCCACATCGGTTTCGGGGCGGACATGGGGGCTTCAGTGATATGCCTACTTTGCAAGTTGGGCATGTTTGGGCAAGACCGTAGCCTCAATGCACGAT